TATATATTTATTAAAAAAATAAAGTTTGAGGGGACCCTCTTTGGCCCTTGTCTAAGTCTATCCTTGCTTGTACATTGGTTTAACATAAGTATTTATTGTTGATATTTATCGTTGGAAGTTGATATCAACAAGACTACGACATCGGAGTTTAGTGGGGATTTATGAACAAAAAGACAAGTCAGAATTGAATGTTCGGGAATTTAAGAACATAAAAACAAGGGAGAGAACTGAATACTCGCATTAACACGCTAGCGTTTACTGCTATTAATTACTTTAGGAGCTTTGTTATTTAGCTTTCGATGATTTCTTTAAACAAATGAATGTCTACTTATAGAGGGGGAGGAACTATAGATTATATTATCTACGGACCACATTGCGAATTCTCATCTGCCACATGCAAGATGTCGCGCCTCACAACAACTTGCTGATTATTTTGGGTTGTCCGAACTGGTCTGGGAGGTTACTTAATTTTTTATCACTGTGCGATGAGATCGGTGCGGAAAGAGTTTTATCTATGGACAATTGCCGATGTGAGGAGTTTGCTCTTCTATGTTATAATGATGTTGCCCGGACGTATCTGTGTCCTAGAGTGAGGTCAGCATAGAGGGTGGCATCAACGCCCGTTTTGAATAATCCAATGCCAATGTACTTTTATTCAGGCGTTGATTATTAATTTGTATCAAAGCTGAATTTTCAGGCGAATGAACTACAAAAAAATTGATTAGGTTATTTATTGATAGCATACTTAAACTATAATGTTTTCATCAAGTGACACAGGGAAAATGTTATCTGATCAACATTATAGATAACGCTTAATATAAAAAAATATTATGGAAAATATTCTTGACATAACGCTTAATATAAAAAAGTGTTATGTGAAGGACTCTGCACATAAAGCTTAATATAAAATAGTGTTATGTGAAAAATTTGTCAAATAACACTTAATATAAATAAGTGTTATGTGAAATGTTCTTCATATAACGCTTACTAAAAAAGTGTTATGTGAAAGATTCTTTACTCTGAAGAGACGGGTCTCCAAATAACACTAACTCCGATAACGCTTAAAATTGTTATATGTAGTCCAAAAAAAGCGATATCTGAAGCATTTTTTGGCGTAGTATACCCCACAACATACACGAGCAATGGGTAAAACAACCCAACCATAAATGAACTGATTAAGGGATTGTACGCCTTGTGGGTCTTATATAGTATTTTAGGCCACATTTTAAGGGAGCTTTATGTTCGGATGTTTTTTTAATGTAACAAAATAATATATGAATAGCATCTTAGTTTTTACAAATTGAATATTTTTAACATTTATATACATATTTGAAATTTATAATTCATATTTTCACAAAGAAATCAAATAATAGTTATATTGATATAACATATTATTTAATCAATATTCGTATCAGTGTAAACGATATAATCAATTGAAATTTATTTTTTGTAATGGTAAAATCCATATATTATGATATATATATATACATATATATATATAATCAAAAGTTATTAACTCTATAGATCATTCATTAAATTAATAAGTTGAATGTAATAATTCAATTTGTTTATATATTTTAAGTGTTCTCCATAGATGACCATTGATATAGTTATAATCACGTAGATCGGGTTAAGTATTGAAAGCTCGGGTTATAAGTCGACCTAGATAGGTTAACCTGAGATAGATATTCCAGGAGCATGATGACTCAGAGGAAACAGTTTTATAAATCTGCAACAGCCCGACGATGACAGTACATGGCTCGAGAACCTTGACGTCGACCTGAGAAATCATGACTTGAAAGGTGATGATTTGATCATAGAACTCAGTCCATGCGAAAGGACATTGAATGACTCAACCCTCGAGATGTTGTCTAAGTCGACCTCTATCACCTAAAAGACGACCTAGTTTGTCTCGTAGCTCGAGGTAGAGGTTCTTAGTGAAGATTATCGTTCTCAATTAAATGGGCATAAAGAATAAGGATGAATCTTAAGGGTATAAGAAGAAATCTCAATATGATTATAATCTGACTAAGAGGTGATTATGATGTGGATAAACACTGAGATCCGGGCAAGTTGCCTACGAGCACACGGCAAGACATTTCGGGAAAATTTTTCCTATAAAAAGGGTTAGGGTATCACCAAATCTCGACTTTACATTCACCATACAATATATTGCTCTTATTTTCAGAGCATCATCATCTTCCTGACACTAGTTTAAGCATCGGAGGCTCTTCGTCGGAAACCCTTTCGACGTTGAGTTCGTGCAGACACGTACACGGCAGTTCAGGCAGATCAGAGCTCATTTCAACCGGTTCTATCCTTATCTGGGAGAGAGCTCATCAACCATAGTTAATGAAATCTGTATCTACAAATATGAAATAATTATATCATAATTAAAATGAAAAAAAAAATTATTGTAGCGGCTTGAAATTTTCTTTTAAAAATGTATATTCTCTAACTTCTATTATTAGTATTATGATTATTTTTATAAGCATTTTTATTTTACTTCAATGTTTAAAAAATGTGCATATGTGTTTGTTGGGGAGTGCAAGGGCAAAATAATCATAATGATCTCACTCTTCTATTTTAATGGATACCAAAAAAAAAAAAACGAGATTAAATAATCAAACATTTTTTAATGCTCTGTTATAGATTGTAAATATATGATGATAATTTTTATGTCTACTATTTTATTTTGTGATTGAATAAAACCTATGGATTTGTCCTATCGCCAGTGGATGTGGCGCTCAAGTGTACAATAATCAGGAAGCTTTCCTCGGTCTTTGCAAATTTTTGGTGGAACAAAAGTGATGGCAACACTAAAGGACTTCACTGGAAGTCTTGACCCCTAACCATCTCAAACCAATGGGAGGTCTTGGCTTCCAGGATCTGCACTATTTCAACAAGGCTCTGATTTCTAAGCAGTTGTGGAGACTTGTGACTTGCCCTAATCTCTTGGTAAGTAAGAC